GCAAAGGGATCTAGAGCTGCCATGATTTTAGAACAATTAAGTTCACAAACCTATATTTACCTATAAAACTGAGTAATTAACGTTTCATTATTTTAAAATCAAGTACCCTTAGTAAACCGATCCATCATCACACCACTCCTTTGGGCCAAGATTATGATACGCAAACGGTCTATTGTTAGTGAAGAATCAATCCTTATGTCCATCATATGACTGGTTGATCACAAACATTATAGATAACGAAGACATTACTCCTTTGGGTTTAATGTCACCTAAGTATACAGTCCTCACACCAACCATCCTATTCCGCCAAGGCGTACAGATAAAAAAAACCACATTTGAGTTTGATTTTTATTTGTAACGGCTCAATGCCAATTTGTGGGCTCCTTGATGATTCACACTTTTTTTTATTATCAAAATAAATCAAAACAAAAATTATTGTTGACAATCATCAAATAGTTTAATACCATCTAATTTTTCATAAGTACACTACTTTGGCGGTTACAGAATCATTCCAACTTGTTTGGTTAAAAATAAGGATCACCCACCTTTAAATGACTAAACCAATTTAACGTAGCTTTTATTTATTTATTTACTATAGGCAAATTTTAGTCTGCTAAAAGATAAGAGATTGCACAGTAAACAATAACAGACATAAATTTGTAATCCATTTTAAAATGAAAATTCACATTTTTATAAATATTAAGATACCACATAAAGCACCTTATATCAATACCGCCCAAATACTAATTGATATCTCACAACTGAGGAAACCATTTAAAAAAATCATATCCTACCCATGAATCCTTTAAAAGGAACAAACCCAAGATAGAGTTAAAAAAAGGCCAAAACGAATTCAGATGATTTTTCGCTCGGAAAACCCATCTTTCTATGGGTTTCAAGGAACATGGGTGGCTTGACTTCGGGGTTATCCGAAATGTAGCGAAAATCTCACAAAATCATACTGAAATTACAAAAAGAAGACGGTCGATGCCCACAATTACACCTAAGCCTAAAAAATCCGACTAGTTACGGCTAACAGAGCAAGTCCCAGCTGGCTGGATGGGGATCAAAATTTTTAAAAAGATTGTAAAAAATCCTAAAAATATAAAAAATATATTTTTAAATATGATTAAACAAAATACATCTAAACGAGATTAAAAAAAATAATAAAAAAATAAAATTTAAAAGATCAATTTGTGTCTAAAAGTGTTTCAGAAATATTTTTTTTTAAAAAAATATATATAAAAATAAATATTAATAGTCATTATACATCCCAATCTTTTACAAAAGAATAAAAAACATTAAAAAATTTATTACAAACAAATTATTTTTTTTGGACTTTTTTTTGATATTTTTCAAGTCTTATTTAAAGATACGATGGTCAAATTGACCACCGTATCGTTCACCAGTACCTAGGTCCAAGTAAACCCGGCCAGTTCTAGATTGACCCAGCCGATTTTGCAGAATGTGCCCATTAACTAACCGAGATCGAAATTGAATTTTGAAACATTAGACTCATAATCTTCAAGACTGATCGAGTGTGAATGTTTGAAGTAAAGAAGTTCATGATGGTGGTTGAGACGGCTGCCCTTTCATTTTAATGTAAACACCACTATCACTATCACCACCACCATCACCACCCCACATTCTTTCCTTTCCAATCTTTATTTTTGTCAAAGAGAGGCCACAAGCCGCCTTCAGCGCACTCAACCTTCAATGGAACCCCAGCTCACATAACCTTCAATGGAACCCCACCTCACATAACCTCTCACTCTCAACTTCCCACACTTTTCCATCTGTGTCTCTTACACTCGTTTCCAGAGAAATCCTCTCTCTTTGGGAAAAGGGTTGGGTGGTGGTTGTAACGTCTTCACACTTTAGTCACCATATTGTGGTTTTCATTCTCATGAACACTACCTCATTAACACTTTCAAAAAACTAACTAACTCCTATACTATTTGAAATAATGAGTAGGGACTTGTGCATCTTCCTCTTTGAATTACTCCTCAAAAAAAAAAAAAGGGACTAGGTTTCTATGAAGCCAAGCTCGCATATGTAGAAATATAGGCTTCTTAATAAAATTTTTTTTGAGATGGATTTTAAGACTTAATTCTTAAGGACATGTAAAATATCCAACATGGAGATCATGAATATGAAAAAAAAAAAAATTTAAAAATCTAAAAATAATAATTCTTGTAAAAAAAACATTTGAACTGTGAATTTCTATTGTTTTTACATGGAACACCTACTTACATCTATCGTGAAGATAGATGCTTTACATTATCTGAACCACATACGTGGAAATGCAGTCCACCCACATGAAACAATTTTTCTAAAAGTCATCTCCTTTCTTTCCTTTTTTATTTTTTATATTTTTATCTTTTTTGACCTTTGCCCCCTACTCTCTTTCTCTTTCTTGAATGTATTGCTCTCGCTCTCTCCACATGCTCACATTTTCATAGAGAGCATGTTTAGGGCGCAATGATGTTGCCATTAATGATAAGTACAATCTGTCTCTCGCAATTGAAATATGGTCCCTACCGGATTGTACTGCTGGCACACAATAATCCCTTAATAAAGCTGAAAAGGGCGGGGATCCGAAGAGCTTTTCTCAATTTAAGACGGAAAAATTTTATGTAAGGTGTACACCTAAAAGCTCCATTAGAGAAAATTGTTATACTAGGAAACCCTCAAATCAATCATCTCGATCTCGAGATTCATAGATAAAAAAATTGTTGGACACATTATTTGGTCCAATGTAACAAAAAATTGAATCGGAATAGTTAACTAGATATAGGGTCGAAAGTGGTTACTCGATACTAATCGGTAAACTGGCCAGTTCAACAACCCTAACCAAACAAGTCTCGAGTGATCAAAAAGGTTTATATATATATAT